CTAGATTTGACTTTGAACAATATTACATCAGGGACCTTATGAACATATTGTTTTAAACTAGAGGTAATGTGTTATGTTCCCATGATGAAGGCATGTTCTTTGATTGTGTGGAAATGTTCTCGCCAGAGAAAGCCGATACCCAATTTCAGAAACGTGTTTGTGGTTTACTTGCTGGCTTAAAGGCCTTTGAAATACTGATTAAAGAATTTGCATTCTCTGGAAAGAAAACATGGCAAATTATAAAGGAACAAGGGAATGCAATGCACCGTGAGAGTTGACTATACTCTACAGGGCAGCTTAACATTTTCACACTGAATAGGTTCACACTTGCATTATGGCTACAATAGAGACATTTCCAAGAGTTCAGTATAACTGAAATCAGCTAAGCTGATATGCTATAAGCCTTTGAATTGGATGAATTCAAATATAATATAACTTGTGAATATAATTTGATGCAACTATTTTGATGGCTTTTATATATATATCTTTTGGGGGAGAATAAGGTCAAATAATCTCAATGTAAAAACTAAGAGGATTAGGTTTATAGGTCTGCGACTTAACCAGACTTCTCTTAATTAAAGGTCTTTAATTAACCAGAGTAAACTTTCATGCTCAGTCAGTGGTTGTTGTTTCAAATTGTAGTCCTGATTCCAAATAAATAATAATCCATTACATTACACATTTACGGTAATTTACTTGACCTAACTCATTTATCTCATTGGTTTGAATAGAACAATCTCAATAAACATTCAATATACATTCATTCAAATAAACATTAACGTGTTTGAAAACAATTTTTAAAAGTGAAACGATTTCTGTAAATCCAGTGATCAAATGCTGTGGGTCTCAATTTTTAGCAATAGTCACATGTCAAGAGGCTACTTTGTGTGTGCAATTCCAACTTTTGAACATTTATAGGCAGTAGCTTTTTTAAGAAATAAAAATATCAAAGATTTAAAAAATAGTGTGGGAGAATCAATAATAATGTACTGCAATTGTGAGAATAATAAACAATAAAAAAGTACTGAAGTCTGATTAAGAGTACATATTTTAAAATGCAATATAAATATTTTTTAGGAATCTGATTAGGCTATCCAAATTACATGTAGCCTAATTATAGCAGTGCATGCATGAGTGCCTACAATTATGACATCCCATTATACCAAAACAAATCTTTGACTCTTTCTGCAATTGTTGAACATTAAGCTCATATATATATATAATCAATGTAAACTGGTAGTGGTATACACAGAAAAAAATATAAAATAAAATAAAAAAAACTCAAGAATGCATTATAAAATTGTAAGTGTTCGAAGTACCCATTCAGTGTAGATTTATAGTCTAAACAATTTAATTATTAAAGCTTTGTGTAAATGATCTGTCCATAGTGCTATAAGGGAACCACTGTATTGCACATGCTTGGGCTTTTTCTTTTTTGAAAAGATATTTAAGTGTCTACTGCCATTTAGTGGTTAAAGTCAGAAATGCAATTTCAACATGTTCGTTTGATTTTTGCCACAAAAGCTTTGGACTACAAAAGAAAAAAGAAATACATTTCCCTTCTACACTAAATGCTCTTTGAACCCCGAGACACTACAATTGGGTGAATCAAAATCATTTATACATAGCTATTTATAAAACGGTTCTTAAAAGTACTAATTGTCTTAGCCTATACAGTATTTAAAGTGAAGAAACATTCACTTACAAATGAAAAAAAAAGTCTTATGATATGTGTATGTTACAAACCATGAGCATAAGTCCAAGTTATCATTTCCACCCATGGCATCTTACAAAACTCCATGTTTAATGTGATGCAAAGATGTAACTGTTGCTCTTGATCCAGCTATTCCATCACAGCCAGGATACTCACCTCTCTATGTTGTCTATTTCAAGCCTGTATGCATTTCTGTCCAAGTGCTCCTGATCAGTGCACCTGTTTCTTATCTTCCTTCCTGGGTTTCAGTCACACTTTGTAATACAAGCTTTACCTTTTGATTAACGCTGCTGGCTTTGTACTCTTTAAAGATAATGGGCAATTTCTGTCTTGAATCCACTAAACACTCACATGCTCAAGCCTAGTTTTCCGATATCCATTTTTTCCTCTTATCTGCAGTCAAAAGAAACTCAAATCTGTGGCATTCTCATGCTTTAATGTCAAATTCGTTCTCACTTTTATCATTGGAGGAGTTAATTCATGCACCCTTCTTCTTGCCTGTTGCATAGAAGAATGATTTTTTTTCTGACAGAAAAAAATAAATCATAATTGTGTCATTTATAAATTGTATTACTAAATACATCCAAATAAATAACTACAATCTAAATCTATTCTATTATATATTTGCTATTACCTTTTAAAATTCATATTGTTGAAAATAAAAAGCTTTATATTAAATGTGCAGAGATTTGTTTAGTTCAAAATGAAGAACACTTAAATATTCAACCTTTTTGTTACTTGAAATAAATAGTATATTATTTAAATGATACTAACTATTTTTATCAATGTCCGACTAATACACCATAGATGTTCCTCAACTGTCTTAAGTTTTGGTTTATCTTGCGCTGGCCACATACTGACACATACCGGCATGCAAAAATAAAGGTTTACAGGATGGATGTGACTATTAATGCAGTATGCATGACTTATGATGTATTTCTTGCGTTTCCTATGGGCAGTTTGCGTGATCAACAACATTGGCATTATAACATCCAGTGCCACATTTCAATAAATATACAAATATGTTTAAGTTAACATACATTTAATTGTGTAATTTAAAAATATCACTAAAATAGGCTATTTATTGAGGACTTTGTGTCACAATTACATCAGTACAGCTGCTCAGCTCACCTGTCAGTCACTACTGGAGGTGTAACAACATACGGCGACATGTTCCACGCCACAAGCTGCATCCCAAAGGCTGCATCCTTTGAAAGCTGATTGTGTGCCCCAATTTAAAGGAGCATTTCACCCATTTTAACATTAATCTTTATTGAAAGTGGATCATATATGTAGTCGAAATGTAAAATAATTTTTGAATTTGGTGCCCTCTTGACTGAGAAAAGACAGAAAATAACTGAAGGGGGCATTTGTATGTAAGACAACTCCCACAATGCAGCACGATGGACAGTTCCGCAAGCCACACCCACTAATCCAGAACTGCGCACACATCAGAGAAATCACTCTTCCGTCTACAAGGCTAACGTTAGCTGTCACCAGAGTTGTGTGTAACGTTACAGCAGTCGTCAATGAGGGACTGCTGGCTTATACTTTCGTTTTGTATTTGTTTATTTTATTTATAAAATGTTTCAATGTTCGCCGGTTCCCGCCTCCTTCTTCCCACAACAACAAACCCCGTTAACATTACATTGGCAAACTCATTAGTGAATTACTCCTCGTTTATATTTATTTCTATGTGGTGAATAACTGCATGGTACCTGGATGTTCAGTCAGGCGAAACTAGGATCGTCACAACACAACGTCCGTGTGCTCATCTCTGATTCAGAGATTTCGTCCAGGAGAAATTGCCATAGTTGAAAGTCTCTCCAACAGACGGACTCTATCTGTGTCCGAGAGAACACAGGCACCAGCAGTCCGCCTCAGCTCGAGCCAGTCCGGGCTCCTTGTCCGCAGCAGCCGCCTCCTGTTCTGCCATCGGCCTCAGCTGCTCACTATACTGTGGCTCGTGAAGATAGCCACAAACATCGGATTCAAGCAACAGAATTTCAAAATCCTCTTCTTCCATATCATGTTTAGTTTCTTCCATCATTGTCATAACTTCCTATCTCCACAGTGCTTGTTAGCTTAGCTTCCAAACAAGATGGCTGATATATTGATTCATCTGAAAGTGAAGTCCCACCCACTGATCTGTAATCCCACACACTGGAATAATGAGGAGCTAAAGTTTGTAGTCTCTAGACGTTTCAATGAAATGTGACTGCTTATTATGACGCAAAATGGCGATTTTTACGTCATAATAAGCAGGAAGTAAAACACTTAAAATCCTTATTTCTCCCATCTCAGGGGAAAATAAGGGAATAAAACATGACCATTCAAAAATATGACTGGGTTTCTAAAGATACAAAGCTTAATGCAAATGGGTGAAGTGTCCCTTTAAATGTGGCCTCCATATGCCTTTGTTTCCCGTAAAATGAAGGATACAACAGATAGATCGTAAGTTTATACTCTTTATTATATATATATTTTCAGACAGTTAAATATAACTTTCAAAAAAGTCTAGTACAAACGTTGCTGCCACTCATCAACGGCAGCTAGGGCTGGCCTTCAAAGGATTCCACCTCTGAAGTCCAAGTTGAAGTACTCAAAGAACGCATCCTCTGAATTAGTGTCAGTGGTAGGCCTAAATGCTACCATATCAACACATGTCACTTGTTGTGACATTCCACTATCCACTGACACAAACCAGATGTACCATTGTGACATTCATGGGATGTTAATCGCCACTACGACTAGTCATTAGGTATGTCATTACCACAAGACTCTTCTGACATGTTATATGTCACACAATTAAGTGGATAGCACTAAGCACTTTATTATATCGGGCAACTTGCAATATGAACTAACTACTCTTTACTGTGTATTAAAATTTTTACTTGCATACAATGACAATAAAGGAATCAATCAATCAATCAATCTTACAAATTAGTCAGCATTTTTTTTGTTCATAACTTTTGTTGTTACATACTTGATACCCAACAGCAAGACTGATTACCCCTAACTATCTGGTAGCTGTTCATACTAGTTTTTAAGACAGTCTTAACAAAATGGCAGTACAAATGGCCCCAGGAGTAAACCAAAATAGCCTATAGTTTTATGGACAAGACCAACCGTTTTGTTTATAATCAAATCAAATATTCTAAAATGAACAACAATGTAACTGAATATTTAGGAGACCATAGGCCTCTCTCTATGTATGTGGTTAATAACGGAAAAATACTGACAACTTAGTCCTGACGAATACAAATCAAGTTCCCGAGTGACGTCAAGCAGTCAGTCAGGAGGAGGCTCGCGCAATAGCATTTCCAACCCAGAGTGAGCTGCAATCGTGCCTGACCGGTTACCGTCCCAATTCTCCCAACACATCTGTTTTTATTTTTTATCCTTTTCTCTTTCTTTTAGAAGAACGAAACCAAAATCCAAACTGAGGTTGACTTAGTAAAGGTAAGTTCTTTTGTATAGCTGCTAAAACGTAAGATAAAATGGCTGCTCGTGTGAGAGCGTGAATGCAGAAAATGGCGTCGTTATAGAACAAACACCTGAGAGCGTTCCTGTATGTATTACTGTTCATGTAAAATATTAAAATACGTGTCAGTCGTCCGACATATTAATATATATGTCTAATTTTGGCTTCTTTCCGTGTCCTAAATCTTTAAAATGCCACGTGACCAAAGATAGCATGCAAGCTAGCCATTACGCCAAATATATGTTGATATAACGTTAACGTTATATGTTTACGTTTTATTGTTAAAGTGTGATTCGGTCATATTTCATGCTTTCAAAATAATGAAAACTAAATGTCGTTATTTTCATTTTTTTCTGTTTTTTTTTTCTTTGTTACCTTCGTTACTGTGTTATCAAGCTAAATGTCTCGCATCTTTTGCTATGGAAGGTAGAAAACCATTTTGTTTCCGACCAAATATTCGCAACGTTATTATAAAATGTTTGCTAACAGTTAAACCTCAATCTCTGATGTAACGTTAGGCCTTTTCATTTTAAGGAAGAGGAAATCAGTAATATTTGACCAGACTAACGTTAGTAACTTACCTCCTCCTGTGTGTTTATAATACGCAATCATTTCTTAATCTGTTATGTTGTGTTTTCTCACGTTTTCTTGACTTTCTTTCTCTCTCATACAGTTCGGATTTTCCCACCCCGCCCTTTGATTATAATTTTTTTGAAGATTCTTCGTTGTCAAGCCGCCAAAGTGGAGAGTGTGATTGCAGAAGGGGGTGCTTCTCGTTTCAGGTGAGATCAAACATCAAGCACTGGCCAGGATTTGGCTAACAGTCTTTCTTAACATCTATAGAAACAAAACATAGGTTAGTTATTACCTAAAAATATAGGCATTTGTTGCCCTAGTTATGTTTAAATCTTTTTTTTTTTTGTTCTGCAAAATGTTTAATTTCACAAGCTTTTCGGGTCAAAATGATATGTATAGATCTACTCAGATTAAACACCCATGAACATTGTGTAATGACTGGCATTTTTCTCTATCGCACACTGGTTCAGTTGCGTTTTAGACCCGAACATCTGCATTGACGCCGCACCAATCGCCTTGAGCAAGTGGACAATTCAGTCGATTTAACTTAACTCATGACAGAGGGGTAAAGCATTTGCCTGAATTTTTAATTGAAGAATGAAATAATTGACCAAGATGGGAGAGTCACTCCGATATTGGGGTTCTTACCACGTTAAAGATAAAAAGTCATAAGGTGTATTAACTGGTCCACTAGTTTCTTTGTCTTCTGCTTTGCTATTTAAAATGGTTTCCACACCACAAGAAATTGGATAACTGTAAGCCAGTTAAGTATTGGTTTGTGGTGCTTGTGTGAAAAGCATTTTGAAGTTGTTTAATCTAATATTACTTTTGTTTTAGTGCTTCTTCGGGCGGAGGAGGAGGTAGGGGTGCACCTCAGCACTATCCCAAGACTGTCGGCAACAGGTATGCCATGCTAAAGTCAAGAACATTCCATCTTTGTAACATGCTTTAGAGACTAATTGCTTTGCTTGTCTTTAGCGAGTACCTGGGGAAAACCCCAGGGCTTAGCGTTCAGAGATGGGTTCCTTCACGAAGCACTAGACGAGATGTCAATTCCTCCAATGTCAACTCCTCCAATGAAAAAGAACATCACGATGGAATATTTAGGAAAGTGAGAGGGTAAGGAGCATGAATATATAAAAAAAAATGTAGTTTACATTTATTTGTAAAGTGCTTTTTACAGTACACATCGTTTCAAAGCAGCTTTACAGAAAATGCATGGGTGATCAATGATCTTTTATTAGAGGTGATTGTGTCCAAATTGTGTATTTTTAGAAATGTACTATTCAAATTGTGCAGTTAGCTAACAATGTATTAATTTCTGACAGAAAAAAATGGCTAATTGAAGAAATGAATACATGTTAACCAATGATTGGAGTATATAGAAAATGCAGTATTGGTGCATATTGATTCAGAATATTCAATTCAGCAGTGATGAGCTTAAAGAAGCCTCTGTTTTTGAGCTCCTTTGTTCGTTGTGCTCTTGGCCTTTTGAGCATGTTATTGTGGTTGTGTCAGCTGATGCTCTCAATCTCAGATAAGCACGAATCTTTACATGTGGTAAACTGTGGTCTTTGTTGAAACTGGTACAAAATGTTTATTCTTTGCTGTTGCTTTTCTCTTGCAGCATACTTAATAAGCTGACCCCTGAAAAGTTTGACAAGCTATGCCTTGAGCTTCTCAATGTGGGCGTAGACTCTAAACTTGTCCTCAAAGGAATCATCTTGCTGGTAAGCTGGTTTTTAAAATGTCTCTTTTCTAATTTAATACATCTTAAAATTTAATTATTCTTGTATTGGCAAAGCTGAATTTTTAGTATCATTACAATAGTCTTCAGTGCCAAATGATTCTTTATAAATCATTCGAATCTTTTTTGTGTGTGTGGTTGTACAGACGTTTCGACTTAAGGATTCTTTAAATTTCAAAACAACAGCGGAAATTAATTTCTCTCAAAAAGAAATCTTACTGACCTCAAAATTTTTAATGATAGTGTTGGTTATGGGTTTTGCTCATGTAATCGACTGATTCATTGTGTTAGTTATTATAATACAAATATTTTGACTATCATACAACCCTGCTCTTACATATTAGTTCTAAGCCAGATTACTACCTTTTAAAGAGCAACAGAGCTTCTTATGTGTTTGAAACTCAAAAACCGTCTTGACTAAGTGATTCTACAGAATGAAATTAAGCTATACATGTAGCTAAACATTCTAAACAATACTGAAATACCTGTGGCCACATAATGATTGTTGTTTCCCATAGATCGTAGACAAAGCCCTAGAAGAGCCCAAATACAGCTCACTCTATGCTCAGCTATGTCTGCGTTTGGCAGAGGATGCACCAAACTTTGATGGCCCAACACCTGAAATCCAGTCATCGCAAAAGCAAAGCACAGTGAGTTCCTAAATGTCATTTATAAATTGAATGTCATATCTGTGTTTCTTAAGGGTTTGTTGAGCTGTTCATTTCCAAACAAGTGATTGGTTACTGCTTTAGTTTTACTTTCTCATTGTGCACCATAATTGTGTATTTCCCTGCAGACTTTCAGAAGACTTCTAATTTCCAAGCTTCAAGATGAATTTGAGAACCGCGCCAAAAATGTTGACAGTGAGTCACTTCTCCGCCGCCAAACCCATTTCAACACACAAACATACACTGTTTTGTTTTGTTGCAAGGCATTATGCTCTGTGGCAGGTTTCTAATATTTAAATGTCTCTGCATTAAGTCTATGACAAACAAGACAACCCTCTCACCTCTGAGGAGGAGGAGCAGCGTGCCATTGCCAAGATCAAGATGCTTGGCAATATTAAATTCATCGGAGAACTCGGAAAACTTGACCTCATCCATGAATCTATCCTTCATAAGTGCATCAAAACAGTATGTATCCTACTCAATTTCACTCAACATATCCCACTCATTTAGTTCCACTCCATTTTGTTCTTTGGTTCATGGTGGGTCAGTTATTTTGATGTGTCATTCTCTACACTTTTTGCAGCTTTTGGAGAAAAAGAAGAGGGTCCAGCTCAAGGACATGGGAGAGGATCTGGAGTGTCTCTGCCAGATAATGAGGACTGTGGGGCCCAGACTCGACCATGAAAAAGCCAAGGTACCATCTGGCCCAAATACATTTAAAGGGTTAGTTCACCCAAAAATGAAAATTCTGTCAGTAATTACTCACCCTCATGTTGTTCCAACCCCGTAAGGCTTTCGTTCATCATCGGAACACAAATTAAGATATTTTTGAATAAATCTGTGAGCTGGATCACTCCTCCTTAGGCTTCTTAAGTGGTCAACTGGCCGGCCCAAAAGTTATGAAAGACATCGTTAAAATAGTCAGACTACAGTGGCTCAATCTTAAGTTTATCAAGAGACGAGAATACTTAGTATGCAAAAAACAAACCAAAATAATGACTTTATTCAACTATTCATTTCCTTCTCTTTGGGCCTTGAGATTTCACGTAGGTAAACTATGCAAAGCTTCTTGGTTGCACGTCACACGTAGGCTCACTATCGGACAATGCTGGTGATGTGTGTGACGAGTCGCTGTTGTCACTTTGACTAATTTAACAATGTCTTTCATAACTTTTCGACCAGTTTCAATCCCTTAAGAAGCCTATGGAGGACTGATCCAGCTCTCAGATTTAATCAAAAATATCTTAATTTGTATTCCAATGATGAACAAAAGTCTTACGGGGTTGGAACAACATGAGGGTGAGTAATTACTGACAGAATTTTAATTTTTGGGTGAACTAAAGAGACAGTAGCCTAATAGTAAACATGCTAATGCTTGTCCTGAAAGGGATAATTCACCCAAAAATAAATGTATTAATTCATACAGTGAAGTCTTATTTTATTTTCATATTTGTTCATTTAATTACTTCAATGCTACCGTTAAAGGCACCTGCTGTAGATGAAATAATAAAGCATTAATTTCATTTAGTTTATTAAGGTGTGTATGTGTGATGTCTATCTTTGTTCTTAATTTTTAATAACAAAGAAAATGATTTTATATTTTGTTACCTTGTAAGGCTTTGTTTTAAATATAGGGACATTAGTTTTGCTGCAATGCTCACTAGCAAAATAGTAAAACCAATATGAAAAAGAACCGTGATAAAATCGTGAGTAGTGTTTTTTCCAGGGAAAAAAAATGTGCTTTGATATTTATGGCATATCGTCCACCCCTAGTTTCAACCATAAAACAATTGTGGCAGATTTCCTGTTCTTTCTAAAATGGACTGCTTAATTTCACTGTGTTTCTAAAATTTGTCAGTTTTCTTGAAATTGGCCTTACATTGGAAAGAGCCAAACCATGACTGATTGGAATAATGGCATTGTAACTTTTTGGATGCAGGTTTGAAGCACTTTAAGAGTTAAAAATAAATAAAAAATACAAATCTAAGCAGTTTTAAGAGGATAACAAATAGCCATTGAGTAGCATGATTGTAATTAGTAATATTACTCCATTTATTGTTGCCTTTCCCACAGTCTTTAATGGATCAGTACTTTGGCCGTATGCGATCCTTAATGAACAACAAGGATTTGCCTGCAAGGATTCGTTTCCTACTGCAGGACACTGTGGAGCTGAGAGAGAACAATTGGGTTCCTCGCAAAGCTTTCATCGACAATGGACCAAAGACGATTAACCAGATTCGTCAAGATGCAGTGAAGGTGAGTCAGTGGTGTTTTTTTACAAAATACTGTCAAATATTATTTTTAGGCTAAGGCTGTCATTGACTGATATTATAAACTGATGCGAGTTTATATAGTGCTGGTTATTAAAAGTTTTTCTTTCCTTTTGTGAAGGATTTGGGTGTTTTTATTCCACCCATGAACCAGGGAATGAGAATGGACTTCTTCCTAGAAGGCCCCTTCATGCCGAACAGGATGAAACTGGATAGAGAAACTCTCGGAGGATTGGCTGATATGTTTGGGCAGATTCCAGGTGAGTTAAGAACCTGTGAATTGTATTGATCAACTGTCTTTAGGTAAATGCTATGTTTTCATATTAACTGCGTTTATATGTGCAGGTATTGGCATAGGAACTGGTCCAGGTGTGATTCAGGACAGATTTTCCCCCACCCTAGGACGTCATCGTACAAATCCTCTTTTCAATGGCCACAGTGGACATATGACCTCCCAACCACAGTCACAGTTTGACTTGGGTATGAAGCCTTTCATCAAGTCTAACCAGGTAAGCATAAACATTTTTTCAGCATTAATTTGCCTTTTTCAAAGCAGTTTATGAGATTGCTAAATAACTGTATATCCTAAGGGACAGAATCAGCATTTTCACAATCAAAACCAGAACCATTCGAACCAGCAGCAAGCTCAATCTAAAGACATGCCTCCACGCTTCAAGAAGGGGCAGCTCAATGCAGATGAGGTAAACCGGAGACACTAATTACTGAGTAAAACCAAAACTTCTCGCACCCTGTGATTATAAAAAGACGCGTTATTCTGAGGGACTCAACTGGATAGTAGTTTTCTTTCTTTCTTTCTTTGTCTGTTCTGTTTCTTCCTTTTCTTTATCTCCTCCTTTTGCTTCTCTACTATCCCTCATTCTTGAACTCCTACCCAGTCCGCTGACTGCGATTATGAGATATGAGGGTGTGAATTGGTACATTGGTCTTAAAAATGTTAATCTTTGTAGTTAACCTAACATTTTGTTCTTTTCATGATCCATTCTTACAGATCAGCCTTAGACCTGCTCAGTCTTTCCTTTTAAATAAAAACCAAGTGCCAAAACTGCAACCCCAGATTCCCACCATGATTCCTCCCAGTGCTCAGCCTCCACGGACACAGACTCCACCACTTGGACAGGTATAAATCTCTCCAAGCTTACAACTGATTACATATGGGAGCAATTCATTGCTATTGTAGGGTTTTAATCTTATCTTGCCAGTGTGTTGCTCATTTTTCATGTGTTCTTTTTAGCCTCCTCAACTTGGTCTGAAATCCAACCCACCTCTGATCCAGGAGAAACCTCAGAAGACTACTAAGAAACCAGCACCTACTAAGGAAGAGCTGCTGAAAACTACTGTGGGTATCTTTGTTGTATTACTCTTATGTTCAAAGTATTTATCACAGATTGGAGGATTTTCTAATGGTTCACTGATTTTGTTTACAACAGGAGAACATTGTGACTGAGTATCTGAACAGCAAGAACATGGAGGATGCTGTCATTGGTGTGAGAGAAATGAAAGCTCCCAAACATTTTCTGCCAGAGATGTTGAGTAAGATCATCCTCTGTTCTCTGGAAAGAACTGATGAAGACAGAGAACAAGCTAGCACTCTTATCAATACGCTGCGTACAGAGGGCTTCATCACTGGGGAAAACTTCATGTGTGTAAGTTACCTTGCTTTTTTGTTTAATTTTTTTTTTCTTCTTTTTTGTAGGCAATTATAAGGATAGCATTTAGCATTTCACTGTTAATTCCAGTAATTGTGCTTTGTCATCAGGCTCTGCTGAATGTCTTGGATCAGTGCCCTAAGATTGAGGTGGACATTCCTCTGGTAAAGTCATACCTAGCCCAGTTTGCTGCGCGAGCCATCATCTCTGAGCTGGTCAGTGTGGCAGAACTGGCTCATCCACTGGAGAATGGCAACCACTTTCCTCTTTTCCTGCTATGCCTTCAGCAAGCTTCCAAACTCAAGGACCGCGAGTGGCTCACAGATCTCTTCCAGCAGAGCAAAGTCAACATGCAGAAGATGCTTCCTGGTAAGTCTCCTCCTACACTTAAAGGTTTTTATTATAAAACTTGACTTAGTTCTTTGTTTTTTATTATTAGTGAAAATTGTTTTTCTTTGCTTTTTGCTGTATCATGAGAACTCTTCTCTGAAAGCCTTTTTTTTAAATATTATTTGTTAGATATTTTGATATTAAGTATGATTTGATTTAGTGGATATTTTTTTTTGTGATTTTTTTTAGAAATTGACCAGAATAAGGATCGTATGCTGGAGGTTCTTGAAGGAAAAGGTCTGAGTTTCCTCTTCCCCTTGCTAAAACTGGAGAAGGAACTGCTGAAACAAATCAAGGCAGACCCCTCCCCTCAGACCATCTACAAGTGGATCAAAGACAATATTTCTCTCAAACTCCACACGGACAAGGGCTTCGTCAACATACTTATGACCAGGTACAGCCCACTGCATCTTCACATCTACAAACTGCAACTTAGATTTTGTTTTTATTAATGTTGTAGTTTACAAGCCTTGCGGGTCTTTTTTTTTTTTTTCAATTTAACAGTTTCCTGCAGTACTTCTTTGCTGAGCTTGGTGTGGCCGAAGGTGACGAGCAACTTTCGTCACCTTCTAAAGAGCAGCTGGACCTGGAAAAGCAACTATTACTCGCCTTCAAGCCAGTCATGCAGAAGTTCCTCCATGATCACACTGACCTACAGGTCAGTGCCCTGTACGCCCTGCAGGTGCACTGCAATTCCAACGCTTTCCCAAAAGGTACAGAAACTGCGTTGTGATCAATAAAACATGACTTTCTTATTTGTGCTATGATGGTCTTTATTTTATTTTTTTATTGCAATTTAGGTATGTTGCTTCGATACTTTGTCCACTTTTATGACCTGGAGATCATTGAGGAGGAAGCTTTCATCGCATGGAAAGAAGACGTTTCCCAAGAATTTCCTGGAAAAGGGAAAGCCTTATTCCAGGTGTTTATTTATGTATTTATGTGGTTTTTTTTTTTTTTCTCTCTCTCTTTATTGTGTTGCATGATTTATGACATGATTTCTAAATGACTGACCGAAGAAGTAAATAAATACAATTTAACTACCGCAAACTCTACAGTGTTCTCTAACACTGTTATTTATCTCTCTTCAGTACAAGCATGTACATTTACAAATCTTTTTCTTTTCAGGTGAACCAGTGGCTGACTTGGCTTGAGACTGCTGAGGAAGAGGAGTCAGAGGAGGAAGCCGACTGAGGAGGGACTAATTCTCCTAGTACATATTAATTTCTGGCTACATGACTTGCTGTCTTCTCTTTGGTTCCCACACTCTTTGCAGTAGCTCACACTCAGACAGCTTTATCACACTGCTGCTAGGCTCATGAATTAAATGAAAGTCATAGTAATACCAATATCATAATGTCTCTGTTTGCTTGTATCCTAACCAGTGTCTGGCTTGTTATCGTGGGTTTTTTTTTTTTTTTTTTTTCGGTAGAAAATGTTAGTAAAATTTTCCTTGCATGTTCTGCCTGGTGACAGGAACGGGACAGGAAACCTTTCGATGGCTCTGCAAAAGTTAAGCAGTCGCTATATAGAACCAATGATTTTTTTTATTTTTGCAGTCTGTCTGGGAGATTGATTAACATTAATCATGAGATCCTAGTTGAAAGGTCTTCATAGGTTACGCTGTAGACACTTTTAGTGTTATTCTGGGTCGATTGCAATATTTTATTCAACCCTCGTGCATGATTTAAACATCTAAAACTGTAATCACTGTAACTTTTTAGCAGTTTCCACTTCTACCTCCTGAATAAGAGTTATTTAGTACAGGCTTCTGATACGTTGACAATTTTAGCCTTGAATTAAGATCCAGAACAACTGCATAGTCATTCAGTTTTGCACAACACACTACCTAATATCTCAGCTTGCAATAGTTTAAGTATTTTCCATTTGAAGAGTCAAGCTATTTGTCATGCCTCTGCTGTCCCAGCCTTACTTAATGTTGTCTGCAGTGTGGTCTGACAAAGTACCTGAGATGTTCTGTGTGATGGCTGTAATGTTGCCCTTCAGGTCCCAATGATCTGCTGCAAATTATTCCAATCTTAACCCTCAAACTGGTGGATTATTTAGAACCTGCCTTTTAATTGATCATTAAACGTAAATGAAAATCCTGAATGTCCATTAAAGGGGAAAGGCTTTTGCCCTTGTCAATAAGGGGTTCTCCAACAACCTTTTATTGACAGGTGTTTAATTGTATTTTACAGTTCGTCTTGTTGTACTTACAGTTGCCAACATGTTAACTGATCCAATTGTCAAATGAAATGGCTTATGATCATGTCATTGTAAGGCTGTTTAGTGCTGCATTCACCACTATTGCTGATTTTACAATAAAGGAAAAATTTGATCAGCTTAAGTGTTTTAAGTGCAATTATTCCTCATCGGTGGGGATCCAGAAATATTCCACTTTCCTGTTTCTCCTTAAAAATCCAGAATCGTGGGAGTCAGTCATTGGTGACAGCTCACTGAAGTGGGGTGGGCCAGTGTCTCTTCCAACTCGTGGCGCTGCCACCCTATACATTGTTCTGCTGAAGGGATGAGACAATTAACAATCAAGACATTTTATTTGTCTTAATTTAGCATTGAATAGAAAATACCTACCTCCCTGACCTCTCTGAATCCTCACTGTTCAGGTCAGGTGTGGAGATAAACACAGGGTCTCCTTCCTGTTGGGGGCATATTTATTTATTTTATTTAATGATAAGAAAATGTTTATTTTATTAAAAATGCTGAAAAGAAAATCTACCGTGAAGTTCCTTGGTGTGCCGTCTTGATTTTTTAGGATCTTAACCCTCTGGTCGCTTTCAGTCATACACAGGAAGTAGCTCTTAATATTAGCTTGACACTGAAGTGAGATGCGAGTATTTGTTATTAGTACCATCAAAGAACATTCAAAAGAGTCATTTGATGAGTAATGAAAGTAAAGATACAAGTAAAATTCTGTTTACTTATGATAAAATACAAAAGGAACCGCTCATGGATTGACCCTTTAATTAGCGACTTACGGCTTTGGTCTGCCTCAGGGACTTTAGCTCTTCCTGGGCTCTGATGATTTCTGCCAGGCTCTGGTGTTTCTCTCTCCAGCTGAGACACTCCCTGGTGCTATCCTGTTTCTCCTGCTCAACTAAATGTCTTTCCTGCTCCGCTTGCTGCAGGGCTTTATTGGCCCTCTCATTCTGCTCTTCAGCAACCAAAGCTCTGCGTCTGGAGTTCACCTCCCTACAGAGGAGACGGATAGCATCATGAGCATTATAATGGCCTGAATTCTGGCATGCCAGCCAGGATATTTTGCTTAAATTGCAAAAGATAAATTACACTGCTAAATGCTTGTGAGCTTACTTTTCCATTATCTTCACGTTCTCCTCAGTCAGTTCTTTCAGTTTGTGTCGTAAAGTGTTCCTCTCATTTTCCAGTATTCTGTTCTCCTCCAGGAAAGTCTGCTTTTCTCCTGACACCCTGTCTAGTTTAAGCTTGGTCTCAAAGTAATTCTTTTCAGCCTGTGCTAAAAGTAGCTGGACATCTTTGTGCTATGGATGACAGAATGCAAATTTAGTTTAATTTCAGTAGCCAGTGTAATTTTGCATCCCGTGTATATTTTCATGATACCTCTTTCTTCAGCAGCTGTAGTTCTTCGCCCAGCCGTGTTTTGTCTGCTAGTATAAGATCTTTTTCTTGCCTGCTGTCCAGTGCTCGGGTCTCTGCCAGTGCCTTGCTCTTGTCTGCCTCTGCTCGAGCTCTAGCAGCATCCTCAGCTGCCCTGGAACACAGTGTCGCCCTCTGCTGGCTGAGATAGAGCTTCTGTTTCAGCTTATTATAACAGAGGAGAGAAAGTTTGTATTATTATTTTTTCTCTCTTGTTCTCCTATATTTCAAGATGTTTAATGTGCACACCTCTTTAACTTGGGACTGTAGTTCCTGGTTGAGATTGCGTAGGTTTCGCATGGTGAGCTCACTCTCAGTTCTCATCATGATCCTTTCCATGTGAATTTCGTTAGACAGATACTTGTTCTCCTTTTTCAGGTCCTCACATTCCTGAACACAAATACATCAACAATGAGGGCTACTAGTATAACTAATTTAACAGCTTTTGCTGCTTAATATGTCTGTGGACACTATACACACACTTGTTCAATTTCTCATTAATGCAATTATCTAAATCAACCAATCACATGGCAGTTGCTTCAATGCATTTAGGGGTGTGGTCCTGGTCAAGACAATCTCCTGAACTCCAAACTGAATGTCAGAATGGGAGAGAAAGGTGATTTAAGCAATTTTGAGCGTGGCATGGTTGTCGATGCCAGACGGGCCGGTCTGAATATTTCACAATCTGCTCAATTACTGGGATTTTCAGGCACAACCATTTCTAGGGTTTAAAAAGAATGGTGTGAAAAGGGAAAAACATCCAGTATGCGGCAGTCCTGTGGGTGAAAATGCCTTGTTGATGCTAGACGTCAGAGGAGAATGGGCCGACTGATTCAAGCTGATAGAAGAGCAACTTTGACTGAAATAACCACTCGTTACAACCGAGGTATGCAGCAAAGCATTTGTGAAGCAACAACACACACAACCTTGAGGCGGATGGGCTACAACAGCAGAAGACCCCAACGGGTACCACTCATCTCCACTACACATAGGAAAAAGAGGCTACAATTTGCAAGAGCTCACCAAAATTTGACAGTTGAATACTGGAAAAATTTTGCCTGGTCTGATGAGTCTCAATTTCTGTTGAGACATTCAGATGGTAGAGTCAGAATTTGGCGTAAACCGAATGAGAACATGGATCCATCATGACAGGATGTGCATTCCACAAATCTCCATCAACTGCAAGATGCTATCCTATCAATATGGGCCAACATTTCTAAAGAATGCTTTCAGCACCTTGCTGAATCAAGGTGTGGGTTGTCCACGAACCGAAAGGTTGGTGGTTCAATCCTCGGTTCCACCTGACCAAGTGTCGAGGTGTCCATGAGCAAGACACCTAACCCCAGCTGCTCCCGACGAGCTGGCTGGCGCCTTGCATGGCTGACACCGCCGTCGGTGTGTGAATGAGTGTATGAATGGGTGAATGTGAGGCAAATGTAAAGCGCTTTGGTGGCCATTAGGTCTATGAAGGCGCTATATAAATGCAGTCCATTTACCAATCAATGCCACGTAGAATTAAGGCAGTTCTGAAGGCGAAAGGGGGTCAAACAGTCTTAGTATGGTGTTCCTAATAATCCTTTTGGTGAGTGTGTATATATATGTAATTAATTGTACTCAAAAACATTATATAGTCTTCAACATAACTTATACATGATAATACAAGTAGGCCTACATTTTACTGGCACTGAAAATGACTTAATTACATGCTAATTTTCACGGACGTCATTCACAATGTTCTGAAACATTAGGCAGAATAAGTAAAAAAGTCAAACCACAAATACAGAATTCTATTGATTCAGTATAAATTCATCCTAATGTTCAGAATGTGCCCTCAGGATGTTGCTCTAATGTTCTCCATCATGTCAGCACCTACCTTCCTCTTCCTCACCAGTTCTCCCTGCAGGTGGTTGATCTGCAGGAAGGATCCGCTGGCGCTCAGAGCACTGACGGGTCGGACTGCACGTACAGGTCTTCGAGGAGGGTGTGTGGGTTTGGAAACTCCTTTAATCTCCTCAATGCTTTCGAATCGTCCCCCCATGTTGTTGCTGCTGTGAGAAAGGGACTTAAAAATACCGCTGTCTGAAGCATAGGTCTTCATTGAAGTCATATTCTGGAGCTCTCCATGAGAGGTGGCCCTTAGGGTCATCGTTCTGACTGGATGCTGAAACCAGTTTCAAACTGCAAATTTTGTGCAGTTTTAAAATGTTTTAGTTGTTGTTGTTGCTTCTGTCGACCCAGAGTTCCTGTAGAAGTGCATGCAATGGGAACTAAGGAAACTCACCAACATGCAGCCTACTTCAATTATTTATAAGGAAATATTATACGGCCACAGAGGGAGCAGAAACTCTATGCTACCACAAGGACTGAAACACAGCTCTCCTTGTCCTTGACTAATTGCACCATAGTGCCACTCAACATCCTGAAATAAGCTGGTTAGGGTTCACAACATATTGGTAATGATGCCAGGACTGAAGACTGACTAGATTTTTTTTAATTTTCTAATGCAAATGTGAGTGGTGTTTAGCACACAAATGTTGTTACAAAGGTATGGTGTCTGGGTGGTTCCTCAAATGTGTCTATAATTTTCTGATCATTACATATGGCTCACCCCACATAAGCCTTTTGGCAATTTCCCATTTTATTATCCACCGAAGCAAAAATCTTAAGCCTGGCCACTTGAAAAAATAATAGCACTCCATAAAATAAACCACTAAATTTGAGTTATCATTCATGTTTGATCCACAATCAGTGCTGGACACATTGCTCGCCAAAGTTCAAGGATATTTACAAGTGCCAATATTTAGTTTAAATTTCATTTGTGTTTTTCGATTGTAATGTAAACCTTACAAAATGTCAGACGACATCACTGTCACAAATATGCGACAAACCGTTTGACTCAGTCAACCAGCCGAGATAACGTCAGGATTCCCCCAATGCGGTTAGTGCATATGATTCGCTACGGACCTAGGACCTAAGCACTTGTTTCTAGTGGGACCGCAAAGTGACGGACTTATTTCCTGTTTACGCATGAGGATTACTCCGGTCAGGAACATTTGCAACATACCAAATTGACCATTATGCCCGCTGTTGCAGATTTGCAACATACCAAAATTTCGATTTATATGTTGTGCAAAAGTGAAATTGATCATCTCAACATTATTTACCATCTACTTAAAGCCAAAAACACACATAATAAAACAGTTTTTTATATATATATATATATATATATATATATATATATACAGCTATATAAATTCAGGCATTAAGGGGTTAAATGTACGTCGCATTATTTCATAACATTGCCCGTTATGATTTCATTAGACATGATTATTACAATTTATCATAATAGTTAGCGAATTGTGCTCATACACTATTTGCAGCAACCTCTAGGATTATATTTGTCCTCATAATCGCAGGAATCAACATCAACAGCGTCAGGATTTAATTGATTCATAATCAACACAATTTGAAGAAAAGTTACAGTTGGGAAGTGCACTGTTTAGTCAGCTAAAGTTTGTATAAGCACAGTACACACACCATAAGAAATCCGTACCAGACACAGGACTAACGTTACGTGATAAATACACATCACAACACCTGAGTTCAACTGGCAAACTAGCTCTTGTGGTTAAAACATAATGAAAAAACAACAAAACTAAGAGTAATAACTGTTTGTTAGGAAGTCTGCTTAAGCTCTGGTAATCGAAA